ACAAAGAAAAGTCCCTGTAAGTTCATCAACTACACAGAGATCTGCTGTGCTCATGATCTAAGTCCTGGTGGTTTATAATAAATCATTTTTTTTCCCTGGACATTTAAATATATACAAGTTATTTGTAGCAAAAACAAACAAACAAAACAAAACAAACAAACAAACAAAAAAACTCCTTACTCTCTATTGCATTTATATAGCTTTAAAACCAGATCCATTGATAACATGGAGAAAAAAAGATTTCATCAGTTAACAAACCCACCTCAACTGAAATAGAAAATAGAAGATTCATTATCTCATTGATTTTTTGATTCCTTCATTCAGACTAAATTTCACAATCTTCAACATTGCTAAACACTTACTGGAAACCCCTATAAGACAGAAAATTAAATGGCTGACAGAAGAAATGGGAATTTTAGGCATTAATTGGCTGGTCTTTCTGTTGTCAGGTTGATCACTCCTTTAACACCAAAGTAGTTGTTTAAAAAAAACTATCTGACTGTCTCATGCTTAGCTCTTTGAAGAGTCATTTGCACTGATGAAAAACAGGTGCCATATATCACCAAATCAAGACAGTGGCATTTTTAATTTACTTTATCCAAAGGTGAAAGTGCAAAGGACTGCAAAATGATGTACTACATTGTCATGTAGTTGAAACACCTTTTCATTGTGGAAAGTACTGTTGGTTTGAAAAGGTCACATTTACAGTTAAGTTAAAGAGAAAATTATAGACAATCATATCTATATCAGTTATTTTTTAGGGGGTGAGGGCTGCTCATTGTGTGTTCTCAGTGACTTTAATAAACACCTCCCAATTCTGGGTGAGAGGATGTGGTTTCCATCAGAAACCTTTAGAAGATAATCAACAAGAGTAGAAAAACACACCTACGCTCTCACAGGTGCATTCAGATCCTCCAACCAATGATGAATAGCCCAAATGTATTAGCGTTCTTTCTTTTCTATCACCACATGAACTAAGTTTAACCAGATATTTGAGCTATGTTTTCTTTTGGTTTTTATTTTTAACTGAGAGAATGCATGATGATGAAGACATACGTAGATGTAAAAGACCATAGTTTTAGCTGGACCAGGGGCTGTTTACTCCTCACTTTCCAGTTATCACGTACCTTAACTTAATACCCTTACATAAACATACAATAATTCATAGCTTAGGTACAGCTTTTGTGTAGCTTCACACCAGTTTCATTTCAAACTGAAGATGTGAATATATGTATAGATTCTTCTGAATACCATCTAAAAACCTCCTAGGCTTCTCGTCTTTGGCAAAGGTAGTGTAATATTTATAATCATATCCTAATCTTTAGGTCACGTAGTCTTTATTTCTAGCTGGTAAATTTGATATTAGTGTCATCCACTCAGTTTTGACTTTGTGTCAAGGCTGGGAAGTCTGAGAATAGCAGAAAAAGTAAACCCTCTTCTGTTCAATATAAGGTAGTTAAGGTTTGGATGTTAAGGGAGCCAAGATTTCTCCTTTGATACCTTAGATAATATTTCTGGCTTGTGAATACCATGGAGGGTGGGATAGGTGGACCACACAGAAGAAGTCCTTGAGCCACGAATTTTTGAAGGCTGAGAGATTGTTCAGAGAAAGGAAAAAAAGACTGATATTTTATTCTTATGCTTTTTCATAAGCATCCTCTTTTGAAGTCTGTAGGTTGGGATAGCAGGACTCAGTGTGACTGAGTATATATATGCTTATGTTATATTTTGTGATGCTTTAAATCTGCAAGAACTGTTCATCTTAACACTAAATAATGTTACCTTGAGAAAACCTATGGTGCACAACAGACTGCATTCCTATTTAAGTTTTTTAATTGTTGTTGGGTTTTTAGGCTGTTATTGCATTGTGGTTTGGTTTGGTTTGGTTTTCTCATTCTATATAAAAATCTATACTTTTCAGGGTAAGTATATGTCTACTTCACATCTCAGCTAAAAATCTGACACTACATAACAAAAAGATGGCAAGAAAAAAAAAAGAAAGAAAAACAAAAAGAATTGGAGATAGGTATCATGATGGCTTTTCAAGGAGAAATACTTTCATTTCTGTAACTTGTAATCAAGTAATCACACCCTTTTTGCAGCCCCAGACATCTCAGTGCAAGTGGTTTACTAGCCAGTTCCCATTGATTTGTTTCTAAAAAAAATAACATTTTTTTTGGCTTAATTCAGGGTAGATGAGAGCAAACTTTGATTTTCTTTAATAATTTTTTAGCAACTCCATGGCTAAAATAACTACAAACCTTTCATACACTAAAAAAAGCCATGTACAGGGCTGCAAAAATCTGTCAGTGCATTTGCAGGAGGAACAAACAGAATCTAATGTAAGTATAATGGAATTTGGAGTGACACCCAGGCTGCGAGCAGCCTTATGTTGTCATGCCTGGTGTGCAGAATATCAAAAACTCTTTTAAGAACTCAGGCTTGCTTTTCATCAGGATGTTTCTCTTTATGCTGTTCTGTGAGCAATGCACGAACCACCAATGTGAAAAAGGACGTTTGTTCTGAAAGTGTGGCACTGCCACTGTTTTGGACTTGCATAGGTCCACTGAATCTCCCCTCCAAATGCAACACATGAGAAGATGAGAACACTCATTAGTATCTAATGTCCCAAGAAATGTATTCCAAAACAATAATCTTTATAGTGAATATTGCATATAGGCAGAGTGGGTAACAGTTTTTGTCCTGAAAACCTTACAATATAGGAAGAGGAAAACAGAGCAGAAATGTGATTTTCATTGTGTAGATCAACAGGAGACTATGAACAGAATGTCTCCAAGCTTCTAATGCAGCCCAGGAGCCACTGACTTTGCAGTTTCTAGTAAGCTTATATTGCAGTCAAATCAGCTCCTAACACCTTACTTAGCAAATAAAAATTTTCCTGCCATGAAATTGTAATATATTGGCATTATGTATGAAAGGCCCCCTCACTGCTTTTGATACAGATGCAGTTTATGGATGAACCTGTTTTACAATATTGAGAAATGCCAGGGGGAGAAGGGAAATAAATAAATAAAAATCACTAGTTTAAAGGTCTTGTTTCGTCATCAAAATAGACATAAAATTCAATTCAAATTTACATTAAACTAAAATAATGTATAGATTTTAACATTCACCCAGGTGAAAGTATGGCTCTCTTGGCTGAATTTGTATTTGTGTTGGTTAGTTTGTTTTCAGTGAATGTTGAAGTGGGTGAAATGTGCCTGTTTCTGAGAGAACGTCTCACTGCATTTGTAAGAATTATATATTCTGGAAGAATGTCTTCCATCCAAATCCTAACCTAATAGTTTTGATGGGGTCTTTTAAAAATGTTTTACCGTGGAATTACTATTCAGAAACAGCTAGATTTGTGGGCTTCGTTCTTCCATCTTTTGAATTTTCTGAGGCTATTTTGATTTTAATTTAAAAATTGTAACTTTGGGCATTTTCAAAGCAGTGAAATACTGTGTTGTTTAGTTATGAGGAACTACATGTACATAGTCCACAATTATCTAAATGAAGCATATTAAGCCAGGGGAAATAAATTAATCTCTCTGCAAAAATGCAGGAAGTCAACCCACGACCAAAGCAGCCATGTTTGAAGGAGGCAGGTCAAATGATACTAATATTTTCTGCTAGATTTTCATAGATTACTGTCTAAATGTACAAAGGAAAGGTCAAAAAATGTTTGTTAAACTGTGTGGATGATCACTGCTTAGAATTAAGAACTTGGTTGCCAGAGTTTAGCCACCAATTAAGTAAGATAAATAGAACCATCTACATAATAACAAGTGTATAGGGACAAAAATGAAATAAAAGAGTGGATGTTGGCTATGCTTTGTAGTGCAGGCTATAAAAGGCTACAGTATGATCTGAAAAGAAGTTGGATCTCCTATCCTTGCTGTTTTTCTCTGAGCTTCATCTTTTACTGTTCTGTTTCTCATTGACACATTAGCTGCTGCACCAATACATCACATGCACACAGCTAAGTCAATCCTGAATTAGATGAGCCATGGAAAACCATAGAATCTGCCAACAGTGAAGAGATTTAGCCAAATATTTCTAAGTAAAGCTTGAGTATGCTCAAACTGCCAAAGAGCAGCATTTGCAAAGACAGCGGGGAGGTAGACGGACCCATTCTGCACTGATCTAATCAACTGATCTTAAACCTTTGCTTGTCTGACACTTCTTTCTCATAATACCATGGAAGAATGGTTACAGGAATGAGTTATGTTGAAAAAACAAAGTCTTTAATGACTAAAGAAACTAAAATGAAAGAAGGCCTTAGAGGCAAGTTATGTATTTCTACTGATTACAGAACAGGCAGGTTTTTATCAGGTCTAAACAAACCAGAAAAAGTAACTGGTTTTTTTGCTTTTGTTTTTTTGTTTGTTCTCATCCTGTCCTATGCAAGTGCTTCACTCATTTTTACTGCTAGCATAAGGTAAATGCGATATAACATGCAACTTTTTTTGATCAACCACAAAGAAGTTTTCTAGCATCTATGGAGCTCAGCTAGTAAGCACAATTTATAAAACAATGAATGACTAACCCCTGTAACCATTTTAATGACCCTAAAATAAAGTGCTTAGAGCAACATCTGTCTCAGCAGCTGGGTTCTCTGCATGAGTGGGCAGAGCGACACATTGGGACAAATTCTGTTCTCCCTTTTGACAGAAACAATTGCAGCAGATCATTTTTATCGTAATCAATTTAGGTACAGTTTCTTGGAAACCATCTGTGTAGTGTTCATAGATTGTGCTTAAGAATTTAAATGTGTGTATTTTTGGTTGCTTGATGTAGCATCTGCTAATGACCACATAAGTTCCACTTTTTATGCATAAAGCTGTTTCCTTGTAAAGGGATTAGTAGAATGACTACTTGATTTTATCCTTTTAACTACCCAATAAGCTGTCGCAGCTTGAATGACATCCGCCACAGAGTGTAAGTTACAGAATTAATTGCATTTTTGAGCTGGAGTTGAAACCATAAGGATAACAAAGCATTAGCAAAACATTTTATTACATTTCTCTCTCAAGTTAGTAATTTAAAATTAATACAGGTTTTGTCTGAGCATTTTAAACTGAAGAGGAAAAAATGTCTTTTTAGATAACAGATAGTTTTTTCAATTCTTTACTGGTTTTCATGTTGTCCTTTATAAACTTTTTTTTTTTTTTTTTTTTTTTTTAATTTAGTAATATTCTGAACAAGGGGAAGAGTGAAAAAGTAAAAACATATTTTATTTCCCAGGGCTATTTGAGAACTGTATGAAAAGACAATGGTTTGGAAAATGCTGGGAGTATACTGGGGAGGATGTGCTTTTTCACAGGAAAATGGTTGTCTGCCCCACCTTTTGTAAAATGTAAAACTTTTAAAAAGAATAACAGTGAAACTCAGGTCTGATTCTTTTTCTAGTTTCATACAAAATGCAATACCTCATTACGCGATTATTATTGATGATGATTTCATGTAAGTGTAGCACATCAGATTGACACACCAACCCTTCTCTGTGTGGATGGATGCACAGGTGGACCCTGTAACTGCACATGGGAGACTAGGCTTCAAAGAACTCTTACTTAGAGAAGAATTACTTAAGAGAAACTCAGAGGAATTAAAAAAAAAAAAAAAAAAAAAAAAAAAACACTTTAGAAGATAGATATTTAAAATTTTCTTGCTTCAAAGACATTTTGTTGATGGGGTTCTGTGATGCTCATTCCCAAACTGGCCCATACAGGGCCCTTCTCAAACGAATTAAAGGACAAACACATTTTCTCTCAAGGACTGAGGAAAATAAAAATCCTAATAGCTCTATGGAAATTTCCAAAAGACCAGTGAATGCAAAGCTTAAGAAGTGATGTATATGTGTGCTTTTGTGAGACATACATTAGCTATTTTATACTCAAAGTCCAAAGTTAGTGTAAACTACCAGTTAATTAACCCTCCTTTGAAAAATTGACAAAGTCCCTGAGAAGAATACAGAAGTTTCAAGAGAATACATTTACCATTGCTTGTGAAAATTCATTGGATACAATGCAGCTGTGAACAACAAGGAAAAAGTTGCAAAGTATTGTTATGCTTTCAAAAGTAGCTAAGAATCAGAAAGCAGGAGACGCATGATAATAAACCACTAGCAACAGAAGGTTTTAAGGCTGCATCAGAGATTAAGGAATGATTTAATGTATTTATTAATTATCCAGAAATGGGGTCAAGCAGTGAGATACTAAAATTTACAGATAACATGAATTTCTTTAGATTTTATTGAAATCCAGAGGGACAGTAAAGAATTTCAGAAAGGATAAGCTATTCTAAAATAATACAGTGGCAGATTAGTACACTTGATTAAATTTGAAGGCAGCCAATTGAAAATGCATAAAAGGGGGGGGGAGAGAGCAGACAATGTGCAATTAAACTTCATAAATCATTGACAATAGATACCACCAAGGCCAAAAGTTTAGCAAAAATCCGTGGGGAAATGGGCATTTGTATGAATGCTGAGAATACTCCATGTTATGATAGTGAAAGCTAAAAATAGATGGTGGAAAGGAATGTAAAACCTCATGCTCATTGTTTTAAGCCAACTTCCAAGTATTAGAATTAGGAAGAGAAATAGAATTAGAAAGAGATGAACGGGTGACCTCATGCTGATGACTGTGAGACCTGTTGTGCTGTAGTCCAAATGGGGGGCTGGACACCTTTGGAGAGGGTACAGAGAGAATGCTACCAGAAGCCTGATCCAGTTTATGTACCCCTGAATCACAGGTCTCTGTGCTACACTATGTCCGAGAACAAATCTTCTTCCCCAGGGTCTGGAGATACTAACTGTACTCTTCAAAAGTTCCTAGACAAAATGGCTTTACAATCAAACTTTTCAACTCTTAGGGAGCTCATCGAGTGGGGGGGTGTTGTGTTTTACAGGAGGAGAATTAAGGTGGTGAGTCCCCAGATGAGGGAAGATTTTTATGTATTAGGACCCAGGCCAAACATGCAAGAATAGACCTGAATGATCTGATGAAGACTGTAGATGAATCTCCTTCCAGAGCTGAACTAGACACTTCAGAGTAAACATTTTGCTAATTAGAATTGGCTGTGGTATCAGAAAGGCCATCTAGTCTGAGCTCCTAATAAGACCACCTTCTACATCCAGTTTTATTGTCTAGGTGAGTATGCATGACTATATTTCTCTAAGGGTGCTATTATTGTTTTAATGATTCTTTTTTGATCCTTTTTTATTTTCAACATAAAGAGGAAATGCAGATAGAATGTTAACTGTTAGCAACACAGGAGACTGGTGGTATCAACAAACAATTAGCTCATTGAGAAGTAAAACGTGTAGAGTCTGTGAGAACTGCCTGTATACAAGGAAGCTTACTTTACTCTTCAATAAAAGCTGGGTGACCTACCTTGCCTTTTCTCTGTGGTAAGACCATGCACTGAATCATCCACTGAAGCAACCCTTGAAGCTGACAGGCTTTAAAATCATGCTATAGTTTAGCTTGCTGTAACTTTTCTCATGAGCCAGTGTCCTAACTCTGTCCAGAAGTGACTGAAAAGCTTTTTGTAACTGTGATCTGTATTGTGGAAATAAATTCAATCTCCTATCAGATTTCTGAGGTAGCACAGGATATGAATTTGATATACTCCTTATCTGAGCTGCTTTATTCATCTCTGTTGCATAATTATTGTCCTTTGTGTGAGGAAGACAAGGCTATCATGCAAAATATTCCCCTGATAAAAGATATAAAATGGTAACCAGCTGCAGAAATGTCTCAGAAGCATCTTCAGTTTGTAAATGGTTAGGCCAAATGCAACTATCATTTTAAACATTACCTCCTATACACACTGAATGCATGCAAACACACTGAGGTACAGAAACATTTATTATAGTCCTCCCCACTACAAATTAGAGGGAGATTTTTTTTAATTTTTTTTTTTTTTTTCCATTCAGCCTTACAGCCCTGAAAGATTTCATTACAACCTGTTATCATTAGCTGGTATTTCCAGTGTATTCAAAATACCACAGCATGTATGCTAGTACTGCAAAGCACTTTCTTTTATTCCTTGCGAGTGTATCAATCTATTGCTCAACAAACAAGAAATTGTGCCAAAAAACACAGATTAAAAGATGGGTGCACAGCACTGGTAGGTACAGGACATCATCTGAAGTCAGAAAAAGCAATAGAGTACTCAAGAGGATAAATGTTTTGTTTTAATAATAATAGCTGTATGCACAGATTAGAAACCTAATTTGGCATGAATCAACAGTAATGCTTAAACCATTCTCATGATCTCTCATTTGCTTTTCCGTATGAACAGTGCCTTGGAAACAGTGAATAATGACCTGTGTTTTATACTTTAATGCACATTTTACTAGTGTTTATCCAAACAAGGGTAATTTTAGCTAGATCACCTGCACAAGCTTTTGATGAATCCATTAAAACCTTTGTTTTCTCTATATTTTTTAGAGATAATTTTGCAGTTCACAGTGTTTTGCTTTATTATATGCTATATGTATTACAAAGTGTTATGAGGAATCGGTTATTACAATAAAGTTTCTGTGTCTTTCCCGGTAATGTGGATGATTTCTTCCAGGAGAAAAATTAGCAAACACAGTATGGCTTGAGTTTTTTCCCTTTCTCATTCCCTTTAACCACAGCTCCTATGTTTTTCTTTCACAGACAGAGATGATTTAGTCCACTCTCCTCAGCATTTGATACCTTGCGTCCTCACATTTCCATTTTTACGGCCCTGTCTGACCATGTTTTCCAAATTCCAGTGTGGCTACTCTCATCCTTCACTACTTTATCATAGCCTCTTTTTCCCTGTATCTTATAGTTCCTTCTTCTAGAAATAAAAATATGCTTCAAGTTTCTTCTTGTTTAATAAATTTTAATGCATATAAAAATAAATTTTAAAAACTGTCAAGTGAACTCCCCTGCTTCTCCAACTGTTAATCTCTCTGCCTCCTTTCAATTTTAAAAATACTGAATATATTCTCAACATTAACTGTGAAGAGTTGTTCTTTCATTTTAATCTCTTTCTCCTCTTTCCCTCTCCTCATTTCTTAGGCTTTACTGGATCTGCTCTTAATGATTCCAGTACTTTTGACATTTTAGTCTACACTCCTAGTATTTTCTCCTCATGCTGACCCAACATCAGCCCTCACCTTTCTTTTAACTGGTAAGTTTTTACTTTTCCTGTGTGTTTTGTTTGTTTGTTTGTTTTTCCTTTAGAGCATCCCAGTGCAGTCACCTTCAGCCTTCTTTAGAGTCCAACAAGTCGTTAGAAATCTCCTCCCCTCCCCACCCCCCATCCTTTCCTCTCCTCTCCCCTCTTTTAAATACATATTCAACTGCTGTTTCTGTGCAAAGATCTGTGTCTCTCTTTCAGACCATTGTTTTTCTGTTCATGCTAAAATCTCATCCTGAACAGCTCTTCATGTATTCCTAGTCAGCTATTCTGTTCAATGACATAAAAAAAAAAAAAAAAATGTTCTTTATCTTTCTTTTTCTCTCTTTCTCAAGGTCTTTCCACTTTTTTTTTTTTCCTCCATCATGGTCTCCAAAATCCCTCATCCAATACAGTAAAAAAAGTCTTTTTTAAAAAGTCCTCTCAACATTTGTGTAATGCAAATATATTAAATATATTAAATATAACCTATTAAGCAGAATGTTGATAGTGGAGAAACCATTTGTTAGTAAAAATCACCAGCAATATTTGGGATTAGTGCGGTGATCGTAGGACATGAAGATGGAGTTGAATTTGTGAAACACTACAGCTATGTTATCCAAAAGAAAGAGCTTATTGCTGTTCTGAATAGAAAATCTTGTTTGCTAATAGCTAGTCACAACAAATTTATCCCAGATTTTTGATTCTGTAAAAACAAAACAAAACAAACAAACAAACAAAAACTAACGTAATAAAAAGGCTTCAGAAATTCTTTACAGAAGCCTTCTGAAAAGAATAAACAGAAGAGCCACCAGTGCTTTCTACCAGAAAATCTGGACATGAACTTTGTTAATATTCTTAATAAGCAAAAATAATTAGTGGAGTAGCATAGTTACATTGGGATAATTACTGTTAAGTGGAAATAATACACTTTTTTTTTTGATGTTATATGCATACATTTTATAGCTAGACAATATGCATAAGAGTTTTGAAATTAAAAAAAAAAAAAAAAAAAGAGAGAGTATTGATATCAAAAATATGCATACACAACCTCAGTACAAAACTGGGCAATTGTCTGTGCCTGCATTCATTTGTAGATAGTATAGCCAAGGGTCATTAGTTTAATAGGACATTGTTTTTTTCCATCTCTCTAAAACGTCTGTTGAAACATCCTCCCAGGAGCCAAATTGAGGAGGTGAGGAAATAAACAGCAACTGACAGCTTTGATCACTGACAGACAGAGATCCATTCAGTCCAGAAAGTACCATAGTGTAGGAATCAGAAAAAGCACTCTGAGCAAGGAAGTAATGATGATGTCCAGTGACCGAGGTAAGCATACGCTGAATAGAGGGCACCTGGAAAGAAGACTCTACAGAGGATCACAAGCAAAAAGGAATTAGGGGGAGGCAACCTGTAGGTCACACAATGAGAGAAATGGTACCCACAAGAGTAAATATCTGAGGTGCATAGAGGTTAGAAACATTAAGAAGGAACTGCTGGTTTATATATATACATTTGGTAAAAAGTGAAGAAAGTATTTCAAGAATAGCTCCCTTGCTTAAATGAAGGTAGTGGATAGTATATGAGTGATTTAATTGGGTATTTGATTTACCAGTCATCTTTTTGCAGCCAGCAACATAGTTTGAGCTCCAGTACAATGCCTATGTGTCTGTAGAGAGATATAAAAGGGATTGATTGTTGCAGAACTTGTTGTCTTCCCTACAGTGATGTACTGAAGGGGAGATTTCAGGGACAGCTGGGAGCAATTTATGATTGTTATAATTTCATTGCCAAACTGAAGGTAAAATTGGGATGATTCCCCTTCCTCTGATACAATTCTAACTTTGTCTAGATACTACTAAATAATCCCTGCCAGAGATGAGTTACCTCTCAGGGACATAAAATGTTTCTGAAGAACCTTCTCTGGATTTCAAAATGGATTGCTTTGCATTGATAGTAGGTATTTCTAAAGTATTTTGGATAGGGTTATAGCTGAAAGACTTCATCTAGTTTTATTCTCATCCCCAGTTCAAGACTTACAACCATTGAGACTGAGCTATACAATAAATATATATCAAAATATATCAATAATATATCAAAAGTAGGCTTTTATTCAACTATTGATTTAAAACCTAAGCATCTCTGACAAGTTCTGTTCACTTTTTTCTCCCTGCTTTTAAGAGAAAGGGGTTTGGTTGGACCAGGAAAAGGGACACAAAATTCAGAATTTTTCTTCTTTTTTTTTTTTTTCACAATAAGTAAAGCCATTTATTCCTCCTAAAATGATATTAATGATTAAAGGAATGGTATTTTTCTTTTGAAATCCTCTGTATTAAAACACCATTAGCATATCACAGTTTTTCTATGTTATACCTTTATGGGTGGTTACTGATTTCCTGAAGAATAACATAGGTATCATTTAGATGTGATATTTTACATTGTTCTGTTTGGGTTTGCTCTGTTTTAGGAGACAGTCATCAGATTGGTCTTCCATCTTCACAGTTTCAGTATAACTCAACACAATACACTGTCTTCTTTTAATACCACATTTTTAGGAAGGACCTTTGGTCTTGTTACCTTGGTTAGATGGTGGCCCACCGAACATCCTCATCCAAGGCAGAGGGCTTTTTTTCACCTGGAAAAGCAATGAAATCAGCATTCATGCATCAGAAGCAATGAAAACAGCTGAAAGACATCTCCTGCTGTAGACACAGTCAGCACGTGGAGTAAAGCTGCTGATGTCACCTGTGGGAGGGAGTGTAGGCACTTTCCCTTACCTCCTCAAAAACAATTCCTTTCTCCTGAAGCAGCAGCACCAAGTGAATGTCAGTGCCAGACAATGCCAGAAGCTTTGAGGGGAAGAATATCACGTGCTCAGTTGGAGGGCCCAGAAAGGTCCATCTGACCCTCATTGTTCCTGGGATTAGAGTACCCCTGATTTACATAATCAAAATATAAGTAAAAATATGAAGAAGCAGCATAAATAAATAAATGAATGTCTAAACAGCATTCTATTTTGCTTCCAAATACATGACTTTGACAATATGCACCTATGTATCCTGGTGACCCGTGTGCCTGGTGACAGGACAAGGGGGAATGGGTTAAAGTTGCACCAGGGAAGATTTAGGTTGGATATTAGGAAGAACTGAAAGAGTTGTTAGGCATTGTAATAGGCTGCCCAGGGAAGTGGCTGAGTCACCATCCCTGGAGGTCTTTAAAAGTCGTTTAGATGTAGAGCTTAGTGATATGGTTTAGTGAAGGACTTGTTAGTGTTAGGTCACAGGTTGGACTCAGTGATATTGAAGGTCTCTTCCAACCTAGATTATTCTGTGATTCTGTGATATTTACTTAAGGGTCTTCACATAGATGAGACTGTAAATGACCTACTCGGGAGGATTAAATTTTACTTTGGTAGGATTAGGAAAAGAAATAGACCCCAAACACCAGCCTCAGGCTTAGAAGCAATTACAAGAACCAGATAAGAGTTATATTGCAAACTCCTTATTTCTGTTTTATCTTATCTTTTAATTACTAATTGCTTATGACTTTAAATATACTTAGCTTGTCTGCTTCGCATTTTTTTACTGTTTGACATGTCTCTCCTTATTTGAGTTTTAACATGATCTTGTCTGTCTCTGCTGGTCACTTCATTTTGCTCATGGAGGCAAGTCAACAATTATCCTATGATATAAATACCAAAATAAGCACCAACCTGGAAAACAGTAAGCCATCAACAGTTGCCTTACTTCTTATTATTTGGCTCATGTTTCTGTTAATGAAATAAAAATAACTTCTTTCTCAGCCACATTAAAGTGCAATATAGAGTGTGCTCACCAAACCCTCCCTTCTTGGCTGTGGTTTGGAGAATGCAGCAGAGAACACTGATAATCCCCCATCTTGAAAGAGCTGGAGGGGAACCATCCATCAGAGCCGTCCATTTACTGTCGTATTTACCACAACTCTATCAGTGAGAAAACAGCTTCAGATTGCTGACATCCAGCAAAACAGCACTGCGTGTGCAATATGAAATGATCCTGAAAATGCAGAGCTGACGCCTGACTTTGCACACACCTGCATGTTTGGGGAACAGAAAGCCTTCCTGTCCTTGAGTGTGCCCACATCCTGTGCAGGTGCCTGGAGAGGAATGTGTACACAACCGATCTTCTCCAGGGAGACTGGAAAATTAGCTTTGACGGAGAAGTTTGTAGTTGATACTGCTGATCTTCAGCTGATAGAGCCATCTCTTACACACCTAGCCTGTTTGAAGGGATACTATCTCTTTCTTTTACCCTTCATGTAACACAGAAATGGTTTCCAGCTTTACTTATTTCAGAGCTCAATGTCAAAATGTAAAGTAAAAAAGCTGAAAGTCAATTACTTGATAATGTCTAGAATAATCCCTTTTCAGCCCTTGAGTTTGGGAAGGATTCCTGACTGTTAGCTATGGGAAATTGCAGGACTTAGGCTGACAAGCTTAAGACATACTTTTAGTCACTAAAGTCTGACAAAAAGCCATAAGAAGGGGACAACCTCATGGACATGAACCACCCTACTAATTTCCCTGTGTGTTACTCACATATTACTATGATGTACAGGAAACACCTGTGCACCATCTGTGTGAAATTCTGCCCTAAAAGAAAGCAATTTACTTTTTCTTGCTGCACTAGCGAGCAGTGCTGGCCTTGTCTCTGTCTTCTGCTCTGTTATCTTCACAGAATGAAGGTGACTTTAATGCTTTGGTAAGAACAAACAAACAAAACTTGATGCAATCAAGTAGGGAAGGGCTTTTCCCTACAGTAAGCAGGGATTCTCTCAAATGAAACAATACTGTATTGTGTATCAGCCTGTAGAAATGACCAAGTAGCTGGTCAGCTCCTTGCCACTTTATCTGCGTCCTGAAGGCAGTGCTGTGCATCTCCATTCTGCTGGAGCTTGTGACTTGCCAAGTTCAGCTTCCTGCAAAAGGAAGACATAGCATGTCAGAGAGAAGGGAAATCGTATAGACTTTTTCCAGGTCAGTGAGAGTGTATTACTCACCTGTCTGCTGTCTGCCACAGCTTCCCAAACACTGTGCAGTTTGCACATGTGGGTGCTTCTCTGGAGCTGGGGTTCTTGTTCATGAAACCCGTTAAGCATGGGTTAATTTCAGAGAATGTTTGAACACTGTTGGTTTGAATGAGAATAAAATGTATGCTGATGCTACCTACTTGGGTAAAGACTCCTGGTTCATCTGGGCCTTAGAGAAATTGGAGGACAAGGTAGTCCCTCACATTGCATGATCATGACAGGGAACTTTCCACTCTCCCGGCATTATCTCTGTGCAGACCTGAAGCTCCCTGTAAGCCAAAGATGGTCTGTGATGCTCTAATTATCCAGTTCCAGCAGGCCTTAAATACTACTACAACAAATCCACTAAAATATTAGCACTTGTAGTATTTCTGCAAGTGCTTGGAGATAACTTCATCCTGAAAAGTGCTTCATAAAAAAATATATATATATATATATTATTCTGCCTTACCCACCATCCATCTATTTTTGGCTTTTGACTGTAGATTATATGACTTCTACCTGACTCATTCTGGGGGTCATAATGAGAAGAAAACACTCTCTGACATACTTTTTAATATGCTCTTCGCTTAATGTAGTATTTAGATTAACACACTATGACACAATACAGTCTGTATAATTTCTTCCTTTTTTTTTTTTTTTTTCAGAAAGTGTTGAGAGGATGATAGGGAATAGAGTGAAGCTTATCATTAACAGAGCTAGCAAATGCCCCATATGAAACCCAGGTGGGTTTGGCAGATGGATATAAAGTAGTAAACGATATATATCAGTAGAGTGTGCAAGCTGGTGAGAGATAACTGCCTGAGTTATTTTTGTGCATTTGAGCCGATTGCTGTTTTCTATAATGATAAGTGAATTTTGCCTTCCAGATTTTAAATTGATATATTTTTCTTAATTTTCCTCATTTCTGAAAAAAAAATAAAAAAATAAAAGTCATTTAGAAATTAATGTTACCAAGGCATAAAAAAAAAAGTGCAAAAGTATAAAAGGTTATTTTTATTGTATATACAAAAATGCATATTTGAAGTTGCAACATATGTATTTCTCGATATACAGTGTATAGACATTTTGTTATCATTTTTACAGATATGTTAGGAACTTTCAGTATTCTGCAGAACAGTGTTATAAAAAGCACAATCCACTTATATTAAAAAGAATCTCTGAAATAGCAAATCATATTTTTTTCCTTTTTTTTTTTTTTTTCCCCACAGTGATAACAGTTTTTCAAACTTTTCAGCTTTCATAGCAAGTGTTATGGACATACCTGAAGTAAATATCATATAAAAATTAAAAATAATAATAAAAATAATAAAAAAATGTAAGTTTTTTGTCATGTTCTATGTTTCTCTCTTGTTCTCACCTCCCTGTGCTCAGGTATGTGCTATTTTCATTGTATGAGATCGGTTTTACCATTTCCTAAAACGAAGAGTTATACCTCCAAGAAGTAGGTGTTGGCTGATTTATTAAAATGGTAGAGTCATTATGGCAGTTTAGAAGTAAAGACTTCAGATATAGGATAGGCATGCACTTAATGCATAGCCTTCTGAGGCTGGGGACTGGGAGAACGTGTAACCATATCCTAATATTATCTGCTTCCTAGAATCATTCATTTTCCATTCAAAGTTCATTTGTTTTTCCCAGATCATGCTTGACTCTACTTTGTGTTGCAAGATACAAGCAGACCAACTGCAATGCATGTGTTTTTGGGAAGGGCTACTCTGGGATTTCTTCAGGGTCAGCAGAAAAGAGCAAAGGAAAGCCTAAAGAGATTCGGATTGAGCCATCTGCTTATGCAAATAATAAAATACTGTCCTGCACTTCAAATCCATCTTCTGACTGTTTGTTAAGCATTGAATGCCTAATATGTACTCATCTTTGATGATGAAACCCATGAAAACATTCTTACCATGTTCCAAGTCTGTCAGCACACTGATCTTATTGATATATACATCATTGTTTCTGCACTGTCCAGTCACCCAGCAACCACACATGGGCTGCCAGTCTTGTACCAGTTGGGACCCGCTCCACTTTCCCTACCCTGAGACAGTCGTTGGGCTTTAAGGCAATTAATACATATTCCAAGAATTCCTTTTCAAAAGTGGGAGAAGAGAACAATCCCCTATTAAATTCCAAAGTCTGTCACTGCTGGTGAGTGCCTTTGCCTCCTTTGTGCTCCCCTCTGAATTCATGCACTGCTTTTGTCTGTTCCAAAAGTCACTGAAGCATAGACTTTGCAGACTTCCAATCACTGCATCTTGTGGCAAGTTATCTCCCACTGCAGCCTGAACAAGAAGATTTCTATCCCTGCTTGAGTGACTAAATTGGCCATAGATTTTTCGTACTATACCTAACATTATTTCAAACTCCATTACAAACAAGCTAATCACTAAAAATAAAGTTTTAGCAGTGTGCACACCATGACAAATATATATATGCACAGTATTTTGTTCTTTTTCAGCTAGAAACTGTTTTGCTTTTAGTTTGATTGTTTGTTTTCATGGTGGCATAACTGTTAATGAGAAGGACACTTTAATTCAAACCTCAAAACATTTTGTTTGTTTTTCTTTTTTGTCCTACAACAAAAAAGATGTGTCTCTGTATCCATTGTGGACTCTGTCATAATTTTTCTAGCACTGAATTCTGCTTGTTATTTGATGGTGCATTTCATGAGAATACACACAAATCTGTGTGGGCATGAGGAAGAAAGAACACTAGCATTGTTGGAGGTGGGTGATATGGAGCAAATAATTGCCATAGCAAAGCAGAAGTGCATGTGGTGTTTGTACAATTGCTTCAGCACACAAGAGGCACAAGAGACTCTTGAAAATTTCTGGAGATGGTGCTTCCAAAATTTGCAATGGGAAACAATGGAGCCCCTGATGATACTAAAGTATTCAGGATGAATAAACTGACTTGTTTACTTGAAAACAGAGCCAATAAATCTTTAAAAATAAACACAAGCCAGGTTTTTTTCTTCCAAAAAAACATAAGACACTTAAAATAACCAGGCTCAGAAACAGAAGTCAGACCTTAATTATTATTATGGAACCTGCTATCTTTGTTCATAGTGTGACATTATTATAGATTCCCACAGGATAACAAGTTTTATGCCAATAGGATGCACTTCTTCCCAGCAGTGTCTCTACTCTGACATGAAACAAAACTGTAAATGTTTCTTATCAAACTTTCTTATCCTGCAACAGTGTTCTACAAGCCAGATGTGCAGTGTCTCTAATTTCTTCTCTCAGATGAACCACTCTCCCTCCCTTGCATTGCTTGACCATGAAAGTGATATTACAGCATTCAAGGCAAGAATATACTGAGTAATTCTTTCAAATTTTGTGTTTTTCTTCCAGTAATTAATAGAACACAGACTAGAAATTTCACTTTGATTACTGAAACCTGCTACCCATTTGAGCTCTGGTTATTACACTGAAAAACTTGTGTATTAGGTTTGCATCCACAATCCACTGTGTAGAGTCCTCACCACTAATGGAAACCAACTAGCTCTATGCTGAAGACAAAAGCAGCCTCATCTGAGTGTGACAGTCCTTAATAGGCCTGGAACCTCATGTTTCAATACTTTTCCATTTGTACATCTATGCTTTAAGTCAGATAAATTTGATATAAATCTTTTGGTTTCCCTTTACTTTCTTTTAAGGAGTTTTATATTATTTTAGCTCAAGAAAAGCTGTAAATAGGTTGTATACAACCCCACCCCTATGCATAGTACACCAGTACTTCAGCAATGGCATGTCATTTGTAGCTCATGTTGTAAACTGGATCGATGAAGAGTTCTGGCTTTAAAAAAAAAAAATAAAAACACTGTAACACAGAAATTTTGAGGGGGGCCTTCTTAAAGCTGGATCAGATAAAGAGATGACCTAAAGATAGGTCTTGCAAGCGATTATGTTAAAATGGGAACAGCACAAGTCAGTGCAGCCACTGAAGATAGCTCACTGGTGAAGGACCACTCATCAATAACAATAAAAATTAAAATGTGAGCAATGAATTGAAATCTGATGTTCACTTCCATAAATTGAGCAATTCTTAAATTCATTTTTTAAAAAATATTCACCTTGGTTTCTATACAGGGTGCCTGAGGATCAATGGAAGTATGCATCACTTTCAACAATTTACCAGCAGTCCTGGTTAACCAGGGAGGTCCCAGTTGACTGGATGCTAGTGAATGGGATTCCAATCTACAAGAATGTCAGGAAAGAAGATCCAGGGAATTACATTCCTGTAAGTCTGGCATTGGTGCTAGGGGAATTCATGGAGCAGATCATCTTGAATGTCATCAGATGGCACATGCGGGACAATTGAGTGATCAGATGTAGACAGCACATGTTTAAGAAGGGCAGGTCCTGCCTGACTAAACTGATTCCTTCTATGACAAGATGATGTGTTTAGCAGATAAAGGAAAGGCTGCGGATGTTTACCTAGATTTTAGTAAAGTGTTTGACACTGGTTCCCACAGTATTCTTCTGGACAAACTGGCTGCTTATGGCTTGGAAAAGTGTAGTAGGTAAAGAACTGGCTGGATGTCTGGGCTCAGAGAGTCACAGTGAATGGAGTTCAAGCCAGATGGAGGCCAGTCACCAGTGGTACTCCTCAGGGCTCAGTATTAGGGCCAGTTATGTTTAATATTTTTATCAACAATCTGGATGAGAAGATTGAGTGCACCCTCAGTAAGTTTGCAGATGATACCAAGTTAGGTGGGACTGTTGATCAGCTTGAGGGTAAGATCTGGATAGGCTGGATCAATTGGCTGAGTCCAATAGCGTATTTAATAAGACTAAGTGCTGAGTCCCATACTTGGGTCATAACAAACCCATGCTGAGGTATAGACTTGGGAAAGAGTGTCTGGAAAGTTGCCTGGCAGAAAATGACCTGGGTCTGATGGCTGACATCCAGCTGAACACAAGCCAGCAGTGTGCCCAGGGGGCCAAGAAGGCCAATGGCATCCTGGCCTGCATCAGAAACAGTGTGGTCAGCAGGTCTAGGGAAGGATTTTTCCCCTTGTTTGAGGTGCTAGTGAGACTGCACTACGAATATTTTGTTCCATTTGGAGCCCCTCACTACAAGAAGCATGTGTGAAGAGAAGAGCAACAAAGTTAGTGAGATGACTAGAAAACAAGACATATGAGAAGCAACTGAAGGATTTGGATTTGTTTAGTCTGGATAAAAGGAGGCTGAGGGGAGACCTCATCACTGTCTATAACTACCTGAAAGAAGATTGTAGCAAGGAGGGTGTCAGTCTCTTTTCTCAGGTGAAAAAGTGATAAGATGTGATGAAATGGCTTCAAGTTGTACCATGAGAGGTTTAGATTGGATATTAAGAAAAATTTCTTCACAGAGATGGTTGTCAAGCATTGGAATAGGCTTCACAGGGAAGTGAAAAGTCCCCATCTTTGGAGGTATTTAAGAGATGCATGGGTATGGCACTAAGTGACATGGCTTAGTGATGTGACTCAATAGGTCAGGTTGATGTTCAGTCTTGATGATCTTGAAGGTCTTTTCAAACCTAGATGATTCTATGATTCTATGATTTTATGCTCAGATATTTTGACTCTAAGTGGTGCACAGATGTCTAAGACAGGCTATGTTTTTAGCACTTCCTTTCCAGGGTGTACTTAAGACTGAACATGCAGAAAACACAGTATATAAGAGCTCAGACAAATAAGCAGCACAGTTACCATCAGTATAGGTACTCCTCCATTAAGTCTCTGTTTCTCTGAGAAAGATATTCAGTCTTGGATGTTTGACCCTTCTTTTGTACTAGTCAGATACATTACTGAAGCATCACTGAGTCCAATTTATACTTCAATTGACCTCATTTGAATTAATACAATTACTTTGGAGATTGCTTTGATTCATGAAGTTATTTATAGCTGTCAGGTTTTATGTGGAAAACCTATGCACTGTAAGAAACAGACCACCAACAAAATAAATTTGCTAAGCATATTAAAAAGTTGTTTTCCCTTCCCCTGTGATAAAAAGAGAATTGCAGCCAAGAAGTCATAGAACAATCAGTCACTTACCAGCTATCAACCAATGATCATGAGTCTGTAATACTTCTTTTTTGAAACACAGAGGAAAGGTACAGTATTCCCAGATATATGGGAACTGCTGGCAAAAGATACATTCTTAAGTGGTATATGTATGTTCCTTATTATAAATATTGCATCCAAATGTGGAAGAACATATAGAGCTGTTTGAACACATGGAATACATTTTAACACTTTCAGCCATCCAGAGCTGGATGCCTTAGCTAGGTACACCTTTTTCTCATTAAAAAAAAAAAAAAAAAAAAAAAGAGAGAGATCTTTATACCAGCATTTACAGCACTGAATCGGTATGTGGTAGAAGGGTTCAGGTCTCAAGTTCAGCGTATCCTATCATTTTACAAAACAGAACAGTTTGTACAGGAGACAAAGATAGAGATTCATGTGAAGAATTGCCTGGTCTGGTTGATAAACACTCAACTCAGATGTTAATGACTGACATTTGAATCTGTGCTTCAGATCATGTTCAAGTGAAATGTGAAGGAAAATAATAATAATAATAATAATAATATTTTGGCTTCCAGGTAAATTCCTTACCTTGTTTGTCAAATTGGTGATGGGTGGACACATCTTTTTCCTCATGCTTTTTCCTGTGGTCCCAGCAGGTAAAGATCCTGTGAGGAAATCTCAGTGTTGAGACCACCCTGTTCTCTGGAACAGGGTGTCTGGCAAGTGTTTTGCCAGGGTTACAGTGGGAATAACCTAACCTCTCAAATGTTTTAATGGTTATGTATACATAAATTGGCAAACACTTAGCACATAGGTTGAGTTACATAGTGGAAGGAATGTGCTCTACAACATACTCCTGAATTTCATCCCATGAACATCCAAGCTGGACAATCTGCTGGAATGTCTGCTATTTCCTTCCTGGCATGGGACCCATGTTTGTTCTGCAAGAAGCCAGTTATGGGGGAGAGGTGTGAAGGAAGCAGACTCATGTGCCCCTCTGATGCAGCCAGGATGCCATGTCAGATGATGGAAATATTCCCAGGTTTCACAGTCCAGGCATGGTTCTTGCCTTCAGGGGAAAGAAAAGACTAAGGGACTCAGTGCTGGTGACTAAACTCTTTAGTGGACTTAGTGTAAATTCCTTTCTCACAGTAGTGGGCCTATATAATTTGTACTTGGGCATCCCAAATTAATCAAAACTTAATCCCAAATTACTGACAGCCACTCCACGGACCACATCACATAGACTCAGCTTGTCCAGTCAAATCAGAGAATTCTCAGCAGTAAATGAAATAGGTAGCATCATCACACTGCTGAAATAGCCTACTCACACTGGAATTTTTGTGGGTAGTGCCATTCTGTCAGACCTTCCCAGTTCATTCCAGGTACTTTAGCTCAGCTCTAGTCTTTTTATCTAATAGATAGTTAAAAATCAACTCTAAATATAGTGTAGTGTAACTGTGTAATGATATGTTTATGTTCAGCTAGGGGAAAAAAAGTAAGTGAAAAGAGTAACAGTTAACAGTGTCACCTCCTGTTGTGCCCAAACTGTGAGATGCAGAAACTGGAGACAGCCTGCATAAAATTAACAAATAGCTGATCTGCGGAACCATATATTCAAACCTGTCTACAAAAGACTCCTCTCCCCCTGCTCTCCTGCTATATCAAGCTGTATTACAATCGAATCTGACAAAAATATTTTAACAATGTAAAGTAAATCCTGGAACTATTTAAAACAGGTAATTTTAAAGAAATTATTACCATCACAAATCCTGCTCATTTTGACTACAATAATGCCATTAAAGAATAGCAACACGAGGATGGAGAAAGCTGCTTTGTTGCAGCTGTGTTAGAAAAATTAGTGGCTCCCCAGGGGTTAACAATTGATTTTGTTCCAATCTGACTGAAGGGTGGTGCAGTTTGAGTTTTCTTTCCTTTCTTTCTTTTTTTTTTTTTTTTTTTTTTTTTAAATTGGTTTGTCATTATACCAAGTATCTGTGAGTTTAATTTCTCACAATGCCTTCTGCAAACTGAACCAACAGAAAGCCAGAAATAGGTTCAAACCACAGACTTTGAATCTGGATTTCAGACACATGAAATCTCAATCTGGTGTTTTGATATAGACTTTGATACAGATAAAAAGACATTTCCAAAACTGATCTTCAGAGTACTTAGTTTTGTAACACTGACAGCCCCATAATCCAGGAGCATCTCAATGCACAGATTTTGTTTAGTGGCTATTTCTTCCTTTCTGTGTCTTTTCTTTCTAAAGACCTTGTAAAGATTAGAACCAGTGGATAGCAGTCCAGAACCTGTCAATATTTTTATAATGGTATCTGCATTAGTAAGGAGTTACAATTCTTAGCCAAACAGTGTTCTGCACAAAATAAATAAATACATATATATTAAAAAAAAAAAAAAAAAAAAAAGGATATTAGAGGAAATCGAGTGGCCTGTTCTGCCATTCTTATGCATTGCACAAATGTCTTTTGTGTGCTTTGCTGTGAAATGACTCAATGGAATCTTGTTTATTGGAATATTTGAAGATTTTGAAATAAGTAAAAGACTCTGGAACCAATTGCCTGAAAAAAAAAATAAATCATTTTGTAATGTCGTAGTTGAGCTGATCTGACATAAAGACTTGTGCACTCACATCTCTGATACAAATATATACAAATACAGAGCTAATGGAGGAAACAAATAAAAAATTTTCCCAAACTGAGCAGTCATCTTTTAGGTCAAGCACTGACATCCTTCTCAAATGATCTCTCTATAAATCTGAAAGTGTTGAAGCTAGTTGGCATCTAAATATTCTGTAGATTTTATTTATTCATTTAAATTGTGAGTTTTAGGTTTCTGTATCAGGAGTTTAGACATGTTTGTACTAATAATTCACTACCTTTTACTTAATAGCTTGTTAATCCTTTAGACTGAAGACCTCCCTGTAGTTCTTTCATGGTAATGGATCACTTAGAAATTTGTAAGTGGATAGGTGACATGAACTTCTTTAGGCAATCACATGATTTGACATCCCATAAAATTTATGGGGTTAAATGAAATTAAAGATGTTTCCTGTTTTCTCAGCAAAGACGATGCAAGCATCTTTTGCCACATATATTACGCTAAGGTAGATGTTTCAAAACTTCTCCACTTTGTGCAGTGCAGACAAGAAGTAAAAACCAGTACTTCATTTATGCCTACAATGAGAAGCTTAAAACTCTTTGTCTGAGTTGGTAGCCTTATAGACAGCTGTTTGTTGGAGTATGATATTATTCTAATTGATGTGGAAAATTCCCAACAAATCAAAAATTTTCACAAGTAGTGAATATAATGTTTTGTGAAGTAAATTGCCCAGTCATATATTTTGAAGATACATTTGCCCTGTTCTGAACTTTCCATTTATGCTTGATAATTTAATTTTTATTCACCTTTCTGCACATTGCTATGACTACGCTCTACCTAAGAATGACAAAGTACTGGAAGTCAAAATATTTCTCGCAAGAGGTTTCCAATTCAGGTTGGACAATGCAGATTTGAGAACTGAGGATAAGCTCCCAATAACGTCCAGAACTTAGATGTGTTTCATGTAAAATTACATATTCTCTCAAGAATTAATCTCAGTCAAAAACACCTCAGTTGCTAGAAAACTTTGAATAAAACCAGCTGTTTTATTTTTGACTTGCTCTGTTACTAAAACTCAGCAGAAGATGCAACATGTCTTTAAACAACAGAGAATACTGCCTTTGAATGGTTTTATTTGTGCTTCTGTTGGACAGTCCCGAGGCTGAATCTGACATACCTTGTGTTTGGTGGACTGGATCTCTTTGGTGACTTGCCAGAGCAAGCTAGTCTTTGTGCTAGGTCAGAGGAGCAATTTGGCCAATTCACAAGGAGAGGTGCAATAGGGTGAGCAGTTGACTATGTCTGCACATACCCCAGAATCTGCAGTGGCTGATTCTGCACAGCAACACGTCAAATGCTGGTATCAGAGAGAAGGGCTCCGGCTTTCAGTGTCTGTGTTTTATTTGTATTTCCCTTAGAGTGTATCCCCTCTTGCTCAGGCTGCTTGCTGATTGTGCAGGATTAAGCTATATCTTCAGTAAAGATAGTAATAATATTTCAACAGTATATTTTAAAATGGTTCAGCCAGCCTGCTTGAATTATCACAGAGTCAGATGTAGAGCCTGGAGTAACTGCGACAAAAGCATTGTTTGCTCTCATGCACCTCAGTCACCTTCCAAGCCATGTTTTGTGAAATAAATTTTAGCTAATAGAGTTCTTGACCTTGCAGCTAGAATTTCTAATTAAGTGAAGTTAGTCAGTGATCTTTTATTTTCCTAACATTGCATTCTCTGTGTGATGGCTGCTCAACTCACTACTCTGACATGTTGGTTATTTTAACTAAAAACTTGCTTTAATATACTCCACAGCACCTAGAACAAGAAGCACACACACTGTATATTCGTCATTTCCATCTCGATGAGGAGAAAACAAAGGGATAATTATAAACTGCATCTCATATTGTTACACTTACACTCGACATGTGCATCTATTTTTTTTTTTTTTCCACAGTAAAGTGATTCTGCTGTGGAGATAGCACCAGGTGCATGGGGGTGACCTCACACACACACCAAATCGGGAGCTGACATCCATCACACTTTGAAATTTTGGATTTCATCATTTCCTGATCTTTCTAAAGGGATCACAGCACCTGGCCCTCACAGCTGTAGTTCATTTAGAAAGCAATTTAAAAACCGAGAAAAAAGCAAATGACATCTTGCTGCCTCAGCCTTGTCATTAAGTATAGCAGAATGGCCTTCATTTATGAGACACATGGCTAAGAATTAATATCTTTCAGTGCTTTCTCAAGTCGAGATTACAAAAGGTTTGAAAGACCACTAAATAATTAGTAGTATGACTGAGGCAAGCAGAAAAAAAAAAAATACAACCCCTCTTCTTCATTATGAAGAATATTGAGCATCACACTGACTTCAATGTGTTCCAAACGCTGCGGCCTTTGAGCATTGTGTCCTCACTATAGAGCGAACCTTCAGCTTTCATTTCCTTCCCCTTTTCATCCTCTATAGCACTGGAAGCTTTGTACGTGCATGGATACCTTCTCTGTACAGTTTAAATGCCTTGATGAACACAAACTGTTTCTCTGCATCTGCAGGAGCTAGACTTAAACATTGAAGTTAAAGTATTTTAAAGTTTTTCACAGTGTTGTTTCTTGCCCTTCACTGCTCTGCTACATTGTGGTCCCCTTTTTTATTATTTTATTTATGTTATGGCTGGCTTTAATGCTTACGAAACGAGTGGCTAATGACACTGGCTGGAGCCAGACCCTGTGCAGGCAGGTGCTGTGCAAGCTCTCCCCACGCAGCCCTGCCAATGCATTGCAGACGCCCAGCATCCTGCCTCCCTCCTCCCTGTGCCCCTGCACTCGCTCCACCTTGCCAAGCTGCACCGGGGCTTTTGGAAGGAGAGTTTGGAAGGTTTTATTACCCTGAGCAGAATCTGGACTTTCAAGTGCTTAGCTGGTATGAATGAAAGGCCCCAATCCTGGATGTGTGTCCATGCTATTGTCTGCGTGGTTCGAACCTAGGAGAAATCCCACCTAAGTTGTTTTGCTGGGAACCCTAATGTCGGGTTCAAATCTGGAAGT